TTAATAATTGATGCATTTCTCACATGAATTCCTCCAAAGGTCCTGGGGCTCGGTGTGCATTTATACTTGTAAATTTGGCAAAGACGGTAAACAGGACATGAGCGCATGTGATGCAGCGTGGCATTTTTGTATCGCATGTTGTTGCTTTTGATGCTGGATTTAATATCTGGTTGAAATCTGAAAGAAAAAGGTGCAAGAGACTGAGCACTTCCAAAATTTAAATATCTGGAATAACTGCTGTTTTTTTAACTATGTTTTTGAGTTATTGCATTTCGATAGTTTAACTTATGAAGTGACTTCACACTTGGCTTATGAACACTGTGTCTCTGTTAGCCTTTAGAAATAAATCATCAATACATCTGCTTTAAATCTGTTCCTGAGCACATTTTTTCGTCATTTAAAACGGTCCATTCTCATTTCAGGGACATGCCTGTCCACAGTGCAACCTCGTAGAATATTCGTGTCAGTCAAATTGCATTCCTTGATTGCACAAGCTTGCAAGCAGTGCTCACCCTCCACTGGCTATCTGAAGGACAACTGTTAAGATCTGCATAAAGAGATGCGGAATGTATTCATTCCTGTGGGAGGACGGGTTTAGGGTGACCTCCGTCCAGGATTTGAACTCTCAAGCCCATCCGAGATTGTAAGGTGTGTGCTTTGCCATACCCACCACACATCCACGTATTTACAACGGTCCAAAAGCCAGGAAAGAGCCGACTAACTCTGATTCCAGGTGCGCATTATTCATGCCCTCTCCGACATGCAATCCATTGGGGAATCTTGCAGAGCAGCAGTGCATGACCGTGTCGGAGAAGAACCTTTGGAAGACAATGTCAGAACTACTTCTTTAAAGTAACATCTGTATATATGTGCAATATATCACTCTGTATGTGATACCAATTTACCAATACTTTTAGAATGATTCAGACAGACGATAAAATCCAGTCTTGTCGTTTTATATTTCATTTAAAAATGTACACTGGATATTTCTAACGCTAAATTACACAATCGAGTCAGGTGCTTGACATCACATTGGAAGGTTGCAAGTTCAAATTCCAGGTTCATGTCACGTCAGCCTATCATTTCTCGAGTATCTGTGAAATGAGGACAACTCCCTGGGAAGTCAATATTTGTTATTGTTGTTTTATGTGAATGACCCAAAACAGCACGGTAAAACATGACTGCATCCAAGACCACTGTCGTCTTTACTTGATCGATTCAGCACATCCACTCAACATTGGAATGTCATTGGCAAAGGCATAACAGAGGGATGATACAAACATTGATACTTGCCTATAAAGTTATTCCAGCAACCACCATAAACTAAACATGACCCTGCGGGGTCGGCTGGTAGGAATAATACTAATACCGGTACAGGGATATTGACCGGGTATAGAGGAGTTAAAAAGAAAATGATTTGTGCATGGGGGGTGAGCGATGACGTCCACACCCCCCTCCCCACTGACTCGCGCGCCCACAGAGCAATGACGTCCACACCCCCCTCCCCACTGACCCGCGCGCCCACAGAGCAATGACGTCAACACCCCCCTCCCCACTGACTCGCGCGCCCACAGAGCAATGACGTCCACACCCCCCTCCCCACTGAATCGCGAGCCCACAGAGCAATGACGTCCACACCCCCCTCCCCACTGACCCGCGCGCCCACAGAGGGATGACGTCCACACCCCCCTCCCCACTGACTCGGGCGTCCACAGAGCAAGGATTGCAACAGGCGATGTCATTGGCTGCGCCGGATGCGACGGCCATCTTGTTTAGTTCATTTAGTTCACGGATTGCAGGGGGAGCGGGCAGCCATCTTGTCGGACAGACGGCCTCGCGAAGCCTGTCGCAGTAGGCTTTGCAAAGCCTCCTGCACTAGGCCTCGCGAAGCCTCCTGCAGTAGGCCTCGTGAAGCCTTCTGCACTAGGTCTCGCGAAGCCTTCTCTGCAGTAGGCCTCGCGAAGCCTTCTCTGCAGTAGGCCTCGCGAAGCCTTCTCTGCAGTAGGCCTCGCGAAGCCTTCTCTGCAGTAGGCCTCGCGAAGCCTTCTCTGCAGTAGGCCTCGCGATGCCTGCCGCACTAGGCCTCGCGAAGCCTTCTCTGCAGTAGACCTAGCGAAGCCTGCCTGCACTAGGTCTCGCGAAGCCTTCTCTGCAGTAGACCTAGCGAAGCCTTCTGCACTAGGTCTCGCAAAGCCTTCTCTGCAGTAGGCCTCGCGAAGCCTTCCCTGCAGTAGGCCTCGCGAAGCCTTCTCTGCAGTAGGCCTCGCGATGCCTTTTCTGCAGTAGGCCTCGCAAAGCCTGCCGCACTAGGCCTCGCGAAGCCTGCCGCACTAGGCCTCGCGCCGTGCTTTTCGTGCACAAATAAGGCGATTAAATGTATCTCGTATCTGTGTTAATAAATGTATCTTGTCTCTGTTAAAAAAAAACGTGCTGCATTTCAGTAAAGTAAATTTGAAGCGAAGTTTAAAGTTTCGCCGTGAGGCGCCGGAAGCGACGGCCATCTTGTTTAGTTCACAGATCGCAGGGGGAGCGGGCAGCTATCTTGTCAGATGGACGGACGGACACATTAATCTATTGCATGCTGGTATACACTCAGTGTTACTTCGTTCCTACCAGTATAAACGGTTCCTTATAAAACATCACTTTTAAACTAATAAATGGTTCCTTATAAAACATCACTTTGGCGGTTGACCGCTGTAGAATTTAGACAACGTGTGTTAAGTTTACAATATAGTAAAGCATGAGGCATCGGGTCAATTACCGTGCTCGAGGTCAATGATGTTTACTCGCCTGCGTTTACTGTCATCCACCGAGGTCTGTTGTTATATGATGGCTTCAGGAAGGCTTGAATTTTGTGCCGTGATTTGACGCGACACATGAGCCGTGGCTGCTAAGGAGAAGCACTCCTCTTTTTGGAAATGGCAAGTTACTCAACTTCGAGGAATGTGTTTTTACTCAAACTAAGCCTTTTATTTCTCCCCACTTCTTTGTGCAAACTCAGTGCGTGATGGAACTTACTGTCTTTAATGGGTTAACTTTCCTGACTCAATAATTATGGATGACCTACAACAGGACAGAGGTCGCAATCGGGTACCCGATACCCCTACCCTACCCGATACCCGGCTACCCGTACCCGGCCGGGTACGGGTACCCGTTTGCGACCCTGGTGCGGCAGGGTACGGGTACGGGTAAGGAATCAAAACCCGTTTGCGACCTCTGCAACAGGATGATATTTGACGGGATGATATTTGATGATCATTTTCGACTCGAAATACTTTTGAGATGACTGACAATGCATAACCATGGCCTACGTCAAGTAACACGAATTGTTGGTGCTGCTCATGGGTAATTTGCCGGAAAGGCATGAACAATATCCGGAGATTAAAAACAAATGGATGATGCACATTATCTCGTGTAACGCAGAAACCGTGCAGATGACGGTGTAGATGTATAGCAGGTAAGCAACGGAAGGTCAATCGTGTGCATTTTCACGTGACCATTACATGGTTGCTGATTTATCAGCAACTACGATCTATCGGCAACCCCGTGAGGCAATGATAAAATGTCCACATTCCTATGAAAGATAACACATTCCTGCAGAGGGAGCTGGTAGGAACGTTGGGTTGCTCGGTCAATGGCTAGGGTCAACGGCGGCGTGGTGTATTAAGCAAATATGCCCGACTGTGAGGGCGGGCACAAGCCGGCGTGAGTAGGTTAAACGTTGAGTTTTATAAGGGCACCACGGGGTGACCAGCCCCTCCCCACCCCACCCAGCCCCTCCCCACCCAGCCCCTCCCTGCATGACGGACACAATAATCCCTTGTGGGCTGGTGTAACCAGGAGGTTCCTACCAGTATCAGTCTCTCCGTAGGTCTATCACCGTTGATCCATCAGTCAGGATGTGAACTCACAGCCTGACTGCGAGCTGGGCCACTCTGCTACTGTGCGTCCCAGGGAGAAAATAAATAGTTGCTACATCAATATATTCTGCGCCTGTAATTGGCTTGTCAACATCAGAGGGGCGTTTATTGCTAAATCCCTATTTACCAGTTGCATATTGATTTTTCCTTTAAGTTTTACATCTATAAAATAACACTAAATGAAATTACCATGTGTGGCGTTTTTTTTTACGTGCAACAAGTGACTGTTTTGTGACTTAACCCTTTCCCGTTCCAAGAAGTCTGCAAGTTGCAGGGTCGGTTTCCCGTTCACTGCTGAATCTCGGAACGCGCAAGCGGTTAACTAAAATTTGATTTAAGGAGGCATTGGCATCATTGTTTTTAAAGACATTGTATTCACCGCAGAGAACTGTAGCGACACAACCACACTCTATATGATAGCTTGGCACCAAACTGTGCCACACGCCCTCCCACATGGCATTGTGGGAGCCTCGTTATGTCTTCCGATGTGTTTTGCTTTAGTGTGCTGATCTTAAAGGTGCTTTGAAAAATTATAATACTCCGATTGATGCTCCTGCTGTTGTGGAGTGACTCATGCAGCCAGCTATGGCTGCAGGGTTTTGGTAGTACATGTTGTTTATGTCATTTATTGTGAAAATTCCGTCACAGTTCCTATGATCACTGTTTCATTGCTTTCATGGCTTTATTTTGGTGATTTCGAAAAGTGTATTGGTTTAGCCATGTTTGTTTGTTGTAGTACAGATTTAATCTAAGTTGTCTTGTTTGACTTGCATCCCACTGGGATTTTTGCACACAGCGTTGGTGTACGGTGTTTTTTCTGCAATATTTTGCTGTCTTTTCTTGGATTTTCTGTTTGCACTCAGTCACATATTCACTTTAAGATGTTTTTTTGTTCATATTTTTGTTTGTTGCGTTTGCACCCGATTCAGGAGCCGAATGGCTCACAGGGCTATACCTAATAAATGAGCTGGAACTTGAACGTCATTGGATGGGAAAGGATTAACAAGCAAGCAGAAAACTCCTCGAAACGCTGGAAAGTAACCGCCGAAGCGTCGTGTTTTTGTCGTGCAACGTGTGCAGCCATGTCGAGTGGGCGCGAGCCTCGCAGCGCGGACAGCCCCAGCACCAGCAGCGGCAGCTCGGACGCTGACCAACTGGACGCCCCCCCACCAGAGACCGAGACACCCCAGCCCAAGAAGAAAGAGGCCAAGATCTCGGGAAAAACAGCTGCCAAGTTGTCTACCAGCGCCAAGCGGTACGAGATGATGAAGCCGTGCGCTCCCTTGGGAATGCACCGAGCTTGGCATCGCAGTTGCGTACAAACGTGCGCTTGTACCGCTGTTGAAATGTGTAAAGTGTTTTTTCATGTGAGCACATCAACACAAAGTCAAAGGGGTCTTCTCCCGGCTCAAGTGAGTGTGGGGCAGTGTTATTTTCCTTTGGCGGCCGCGAGCCGAGGTGGAAATGACACAATCCTATTTTAACATCTAATCTCTTGGTAGCATAACGCTTGTCGACTCCACAAAGTGGGGATTGCTGTGTGGACCCCAGTGCAATGATGGAGGCCCGAGTTATCACCGATCGTGGTTTAAACTCGCTCCCCTCCAACCACGAGTCAAGCGCTCTGCCATATCGCCACCCAACCGGTTTATATAAAGCGTCGGCATTAAATTAACTTTTTACTCTTTGAAGGTGTGATGGCTGTTGACGTTTTGTTTGTACGTGTACAGCTATTTATGTAAATCCACTTCTGCATTTGAGATGCTGTGCGGGTCATGGGAGTTACTTGACCACATGTTTCCACGCCTGGTCAGCGCAGATATGGTGAAGGCATGGAGCATACCATGAGATTATAGTGCAGAAAAACAGTAGCCTTGACTGTCCTCCCCTTTGTTGCCCAGAACCTAGCCCCCCGCACCCGTTGCATTTGGCATTCGCCTATCCAAGCACTTTCCAGGTTAAAATCTGCTTGGATTTCTAGATCTGCCAAGATCTGGGCGTTTTGTTAGTGTTTTTTTTCTAACCTGTGGACCCAAAAAAAACTCGTAGATGCCAATGTTTATGGTGTGGTGTCAGACTAATGAAATAACACTGGTCAACACACTTTTTCTGGCATAAGGTATTCCAACGGTTTAAAGGTAATTTTGGGGTGCTGATTCCAAATCTGGCATTAGTTTTTGAGATATCAAATATTGCATTTTCAATAAAAACTGCAGAAGAAAAATATTAAATAAATGTGGATATATACATAAAATGATATTATAAACACACTATCCTAAAAATACAGCACCATATTTTAACACTAAAGCAGTCACTGACTCGCAACAACTTGCAACCATAAGTGACAGAGTTAATTTCGGGTAAAATCAATGAAAATGGGGTATGCCGATAGCATAAAATGAGATGTGATAGAGCATATCTGAGATCAGATTTAGAATCAGCACCCTGAAATTAGTCTGAAACAGCTGCAAAAGTCCAGGCCAGAAAAAAATGTTTTTTTTTGTTGACCAGTGTAATCCCACAGTAGCCTTCCCCTACCCTCTATCTTTTCATTACCAGCGACATGAATGCATGCTGCTGACCTTGCCATCCTAATGAAAGCCTGGTCTCCCAAAATTCCTGAAAATGTCCATCGGATTTCAAATCTCTCTTCTTGGAAAAGTCCTAGAAATGGGTCATCTCTTCCACCATTACCAAATGCCTATCGCAGTACAGTCTGGTTTCCACCAAGGTCATTCTACAGAGACCACTGTGTGTGGTCAACTCGTCACATTTCGATTTAAAGTTTTCGTGACTTCAGGGATTCATCTTCTTGGTTCTTTCGGTAAAGTCACGTAGAAGGGAAATAATAAAATAATAAAAATAAAACATAATTAAATAATTCTCACGACGTTTCGGCCACTAACGCAAGCAGCTGTCCTCAGGCGAAGAACAGGTCTGTCGGAATGACAGCGTCTGAATGAACACCACCAGACTTGGCAGCGTATATTTAAGCTGGGTTGGAGGCGGAAGAGCGCCTTGACAAAATAATTTGCATATCCAGAGGGACGGCTGCTTGCGTTGTGGCCGAAACGTTGTGAGAATTATATTATTATGTTTTATTTTTATTATTTTATTATTTCCCTTCTACATGACTTTACCGAAAGAACCATGAAGATGAACTCCTCGTCACAGTTGAATCTATCGCCTAGTTCTCCGAGACCTCACTGCTGCTTGCAACACCACTGGCCGCTCCATGCTCATTGAGCATCTCCATAACTATGTCATTGTCTCTGGCACGCCTCTCTCCTGGCACGGTTGTTGCCTCTCAAAATACTCCCTTGGTTTCCACACGAGGACTGTATCTGTCCGAAAATTCCCATGTCCATGTGCCACGGGCTCCATCTCTGACCCCCACAAAGTCTTCCCGTGTCGCTTGTCAATTTTGCCCAAGTGCTGGTGATGCTCAGCTCTATGTTGTCATTGACTCCACAAGAGCACACCTCTTGTGTGTCCTGCCTTGTTGCCGTCTCATCGTTGGATTTTTCAAACTCCTTCTCAAGCGAAAGGATGCCAAATCCAATGTCCACACCTCACCAGCAATAAAACAGTCCACCGTCAGCACACCACTCCAGTTCGAGCATGCACCTCCGAAAACTCCCAACATAATGCTGGCAAAGAGCATGCATGATCTTGCTTCTGTTCCTGTTGATCCCAAGCTGCTTTGTATATTATTCCGTTATTTTAAAGAAAGTGTACGTAACAAAATGTTTTTTTCAGGCAAGATTTACTATGCGAAATCTGACTTCGTCTTCAATGGGTGTACCACTAGTGCTTTGACCATTCCAATCGCTTATGACATTAATGCATTTATATCTGATGGAAATTATATGGTACATACATTACCATTTATATCATTCACTTAACTATGGATATCAGATTCGTCTTCATCCAACTACGCAAGGATTGGTCTTATCAAAGTTCTATTTAATCAGCTAACGAACATGATGCGTGTGTGTGCAGGAGCGATAGTGGAGCGGTTAACGCTCTGCGCTACGAACCCGGCGACCCAGGTTCGATTCCCGCTCACAGTCAACTCCAGTGACGATTATCTGAACTGGTCCTGGGTCTCTCCTAGGCTGACTCGGCCTCAGATGAGTACTTGGTGCGGTGTCTAAACATTGCAGCTAGGCAGACAAAGGCAACAGTGCATGGTGCTGGCCTGGCCACCCACCGCCTCGTGTGCCATCTCGGCCTTAATCAGAGCACCTGGCTAACAGCACTTGCCCCAAAAGTCTGTTAAGGCTATACGGGCCATTTTTGTCTTTGCAGGATTCAGAAGGAGCTTGCGGAGATAACACTGGACCCCCCTCCCAACTGCAGGTAAGCCCCCCCCCACCGGCCCCCTACCCCCCCTCCCCCTGCTCCCCCCACAGGGAGTCTCAGCAGAACACCTCAATGCCAGTTCCATTTTCCGCCAAGCACAATGTTGCAACAGCGCGCGCTCTGGTAACGACGCAGCCATTGTGGACGTGTGCGTCTGTTGTGTCTATTTAATTAAAGCCAAGACCACTGCAATACGCAGGCAGTAGATGGTGATAAGATATATTTTTTTGAATGTTAGTCCCGCGCAGCACTGTCACGCAAATGCTATATCCCCTGTCCCCGAGCAGCAGCAGGGAAATACGAGCCGGAGAAAGCAAGCGATAGTACGTTTACATGAGGATCCTTAGATTTATTGTAATTAAAAAGTAAATGTTCTCGTTCAGATGGCCAAGTGGAAATTCACACTGGCTTGACCTAAATGACTACTTCTCCACTAGCTTCAATGGCCTTCTTACCTTTACAACTTTCACGTTTTTGTTTAGCCAGGTGCAAACTTGAGAGATACCAGGATTGTCTAATTTGCCAAGAGAGAGCACACCTTTTGATCAATGTCCTGCACTTATAATTTGTCACTTGGCAACCCAATCAGTAAGAGCTTGAATGTTATAATGGCAAATCACATTTAATATGACCTCTTATGTGTGGTCATTGGCGGCCAAGTTGAGCCATCACTGATGCGTTTTCTGAGACCCCATTAATAGACTTGTAGCTGCCAGATTTTGAATGTGTATTCTCACAGATCGTTGTTCTTGCTACGTCCATCATCTAGCAATGGAGACACTGACCCTTTGACCTGCTTTGAAAAAGAACACGAAGAAAAAAAACTTCACTGTTGCCCATAAACTCAATCCCGCTGTTTTGCGGAAACTTTAAATAGTGCTCCCTACTGCTAATGAGGTCGGCAAGAAATTCAACGGCAGATTTTCCAAAGTCCAGAATCCCCTGCGAGTTGCACTGCAGTACGGCATCACCCCTTCCCACCCCACCACGTACCGCGGTTATCAAACTTGACCGTGAAAGTGGGCACTGGAAGACCATATCTCTCTTAGCTAAGAGCCATTACATCCCTTCTTTTGGACTCCAGTGAACTACACGTAAAGGACTAAGCATTTAATTGCATTGTGTAGTGTAAATTTCACACACGTGATAAATTGGCGAAGAAAGAGGAGTGGAAAGCAGAGCTTTCCGCTGCTATTCCCTGTCGGCTTGCCATCCGGGTCTCGCTTGAGTGTATTGGCAGCTATCTCTGTTGTATTTTACTGCAACTTCCATCCCTACCATCTCCGTGCACTACACTAACCACGTCTCGACATTATTCGAAGGCTTCCATGCCGACAAATATATACCTATGAACAATCGTTACATTAACAATTCGGTTGTCACAGTTTGAGGTTGCAAATCAGTTTGATTTATTTTTGCTCTCCTTTTTGTTTGATTTGTAAATAAGCGACTTGTACGTGTATGATTTGATGCACACATCGGGAGTGTACCAGTTAATTTTAATGAATCAATTGTGGTTTTTAATGCTTGAAATGTCAACCAAGGTTGGCTCGGCCCCACCACCCCTCCTGAGTTGCTAAAAAAAAATAGCAGCAACTGAAAAACACATTGGTAGACAATCTACGGAAAACTCAATTCACTAGAAATGTGGATTTCGTCTCCACGTTAGAACTTGAGTCCAAACGCGATCGTTTTCTGTCTGCAGATCTCAACATGGGACCGGCTGCTCATCTTGTTTTGGCAGCCCTGAGCCATTGGTGGAAAATACGTATTTTAATAGCAGAGATGAGATTCTCTTTAGAACGATGAATGTTGACGAACCGACAAAGCGGTACTTATTTTGGTGAACCCAGAAAGAGACGAATGTACTGTCAGCCGCCGACTACGATTTGAACTTTTGCAGCCATTCAATTGTGGTCCAAGAGCTCTCATCATAGCACCGCCTGCTTGGAGATAGAGCCCACAATTAATCCCAATTGAACATTTGCCTTCTAAGCTCTTTATCTATTAAGAATGGTCATTTACTGTGCCTATTCAGCGAATCCTACACTCTTGTTTATGGAAAACAAGCGCATGAGAAAAATCTATTTGCACTCAAGAGGCAGTAAACAATCCCAGATGTACATCTGCTGCGCATATCATTGCATCCGTCGACGAGGCAGCGTTCCAAAAGCGATATTCAAAGCGCACGGAACCAGAGGTGGTGCACCATTTACAAGCAAGGCTGTGAAAGTGGTGGCACAGAGCGCCTTGTCACTTTTTTTTTGTATTCAAACACAACACTCCTTGTTGGCTGCAGAATAAAAAAACAAATCATTAGCTAAGTGTGGAGGCTTCTGACCTTTTCCACCACTGCCCTGTGAATAGTTTCCACTCGGTTGTGTTGCACTCCGAGCCTCGGAGAAAGCGTTATTTTTAGGCCCTGCCGGTGGGATTAGTCCTTATATGACATAGATTGTAAAGCAAAACTCTTAAGATGGTGGATTAGGTTAAAAATGTTGAGCAGCGATTTATCAAATAGGTGACATAAGGTCGGCATGATTGTATAATTGATTGGGGCGCTACGGTGGCGAGATGTTAACGACCTCGCCTAATATACAGGAGGGCGTGGGTTCAATCCTGACATTTGCTGTATATTTGGTGTTTGCACGTCTCTCTCCCCGTGGTCGCGTTGATTTTTCTCCGGGTCCTATTTTCCCCTCCACATTTAGAAACATGCATTTCGAGTATTTGGCTGCTATAAATGTCCACACGATAAACCACTTCCTTAAGCTATCATTTGTGGCCAGGTCGCTTCTGAAAAAGAGCTGTATCGCTCAGTGGGCTTAACCTGGTAAAATAAAAAGTAAAGTGTCAGTTACACGCGAGTGTAAGAAATGCAGCTTGCGTGAAGAGAGTGCGGTTATTAGTGATATTGGCAAATGTGACGCGTGTTGTGCGGGGTGCGGGGGAGTGTTGCGGTGATGTGGTTTGGTGAGTTATGACGGGTGTGTCTAGAATTAGGTAGTCAGATGAGCGGGAAGGGGGTGGCGCGGTAGTGGGGGGGGGGGGTGATGTAGAAGGGGGGGGGGGTGTAAAAGGGGGGGTGGCAAGTCTGGGAGAAGGTGAATTGCATTGTAGGAGAGAGCAGATGTTCTCAGGGAGGCAGATTTAAATATTTGTTGCCGGTCCCAAGTTCTTAGGGTTTTTACGCGATCTTTACAACGGTTTCAAATGTTACAGTCGCGTCTCCGATTAGTGCGGTTGGCTACGTACGGTGCGAAAGAAGTTCAACACACACACTTGCGTACATACGTTAGTGGTCGTGCGGTAGCTGTGAGGTGTAGGGTGTGTTGAAGTATTGCGAGTCCTAGGTGTGACGCGAGGCCGAGAGGGCCAGCCTCTAGGGGGAGAGAGAGAGAGCGCTGTGGTGGTGGGGCAGACTCAGGGGGGTGTCGTGTTGCGGAGCGGTCGGAGACGGCTACCCCAGTTATATCAGGGCATGTCCAGAGAGAGCACGTTGGCTTGCTTGGGGGGAATGGGGTGAGTTCACCTGGCCACAAAGGTTGAGTGAGCGAGTGCAATTTGGCACAATACCAGCTTGTTGTGATAGATACATTTGGCAAATTTGCTGGCTGATTGAGCCTTCCCGTGTTTGAACCAACCTATAGCCTATTGTTGTCAAATATGAGTCCATTTAAACAGTTAACATGATCCAGGCGGTTTCGAGAGAAATGGCATTCCTTGACCAACGGTACAAAGTTCAACCTTATCACGCTGTCAGCAACTGCTTTATCAATCTATGGTTCTCAGTCAAATGTATTTTTATCGCACCAAGCTCAGCCCTAAGCCACCATCAGCAAGTCCCGTCGGAAATTTCACCAACCATTTGAAATTACACACAATAGAATTATGACCTTCATTAAAATCGTCATGCTGACAGAAACTCTATTATTCTTTCTGTTATCACTGCACCCACCTGAAAGTAATCGACTCGGGTCAATTGGTGGCTCCACAGTCTATTTATGGCACCCCCGTGGCAAAATGTTAACTCCCTCGCCTGGAATTCAGGAAATCGTGGGTTCAATCCCGACCCTGACAACGACATTTGGAGTTTGTATTTACTCGCTGTGGTCGTGCGCATTTTTCTCCGGGTCCTCCGGGTTTTCCTTCCCCATTACGAATCATGTGTTTTAGAGTATTTGGCTGCTATAAATGTCTACGTGATAAGCCACTTCGTTGAACTGTCATTTGCGGCCGGAACACTTCTGAAACAAAGCTATGTAGCTCAGTGTCGGTCTTACCGGGTAAACAAAAAATATTTGTATTGAGTTGCAGGGCTAAGGAAAATGCAATGCAGTGCCCATCTTCACACTTTCCTGGGTTGTGCTAATTGATGTCTGGCGACTTGTATGTATGTGCGTACTTAGCCAACCATGCAAAATCGGTGGTACGGTGGGAAATGACAACAAACTAAACAGAAAAAGCAGTTGCTGAATGGCCCAGTGTCCATTATACTCGTACTGTACCTGGGAATCCAAATAAACCGGTGTACTCAAGAAATCTGCCTGGAGCCTGCGCATTAGCAAAAATTAACACCGACACTATCCATCAGCCTCATTAGCAACGCCAGCACCATACCAAGGGAATGGTTGCTCCGAGGTTGAAGAGCAGCGAATAATACAATTACGTCAATGGGAAGCATTGCCACAGCCACTCCTTGTGCCACGTGTTTATTTTTCTCTCATTGGTGTCCTTGAGGCTTCGAGGTGACATTCCCCTGTGCAAGTCCTCAGCAGTGAGCAACCGTGCTGAGACCCTGGGCAGGGTTATGCTTTTCCGTTTTATGAATTAATTGTTACAGGTTTGAATCATTGTTTTCGTTATTTTGCGTTTGGATATACAACACACGTTAATTGGTTTCTGATTTACAAACATTTTTATACAATACAGGAACTCCATTTGGATATACGGCCAAAGCTCATTATGGGAAAGCAAGGTGAAATGTAAAGCACTAA